GATAGATAGATAGATAGATAGATAGATAGATAGATAGATAGATAGCACTGCCTGTTTGGATTATGATTACTTTTAAAAATTATTATTATTTTGAACTTGCTATTGGAGCTTTTCATATAAACCAAACAGCTCTAGTTCTATAACAGCTTGTCTGGTGCTGATGCTGATGTGAGGGTCTGATGTGAATGAAGACGCACCTGACCGGTGCTCCGCGGCTCCGGGCCGGTTTCAGAAGGACTGTCACTGTGCTGTCGGTCTGATTCAGCGGTGTCTCCTGCTCGTATCCCGGCATACGCGGTGCTGTTATGATTGACAGGTGACATATGAGCACGTCTCTCTCACACACACACACACACACACACACGGCTGGCGCGGCTCTTACGTGAGATCTTGGTTGTGAACTGTGTGGTTTCGGGCGGCCCGTATCCTTTGACCGTACTGGCTCTGATGGTGAAGGAGTACGTGGATCCGGGATACAGACCCGTGAAGATGTGCGACGTCTCGTTGCTGAACTTCAGCATCTTCCCGCTCTGATTGGACAGATTGAACTCGGGGTCGAAGGAGCTGACGGCCTTATAGAAGATCTGCAGGCACAAAAACAGCACATCACAGGAGGAAGCCCCGCCCACAGCGCCATCTCATTGGTCCAAAGTCCCACTGCGCATTATTGTGAATATTCAACATGAAACCCGAACGGACTCTGTTTATTTTCTTTTTGTGAATGATTCAGCAGTGATGAACATTTCAACATTTTCAAAATTTTTTGTGCACAGAACTTCACAGAACTTCACTAGTACTCTGCCAAAATAAAAATATGAAAGGCTTGAGGGTTTGAAAACTAATTATTTAAGACATAAATATAGGAAATTATTAATATAATTTAATTTAATTTTACAATACAATATATAGTAATAAATTTCCGTTTCATTTCTATAAAAATTAAAACAATAATTAAAAATAATATAAAAAATTTAAATAATTAACATAAATATTAGTATTGTAACTTGTAGTGTAAAATAGGAGTAGAATATAATTACATTTATTTTAATTAATAATTTTATAATTAATGTAATGTCATTTTATTTTACTTTACAGTACAATTGTAATTTACAACAGTAATATATTTGTCTTCATTTTTATAAGAGTTAAAACAATAGTTAAAATAAAATAATAATAATGTAAGTTCATATAAAAATAATATAATATAGCAAGATAATTTATTTATATTACAATATTATATTCATATAATTTATAGCACAATTACAGTACAATTGGAATTTACAACAGTAATACATTTCTGTCTTCA